AATAATAACTAGAGCAAAGCTCGTTGCAAAGCAACGAGTAGGTCTTCCGTCCAGTTTTGACCGGAAGTGATGGAACAAAAGAAAGCAATGAGCTAAGTAGTCTCAAGTGACTTTATAATTTCAATTTTGCATCAAAACCTTCAAAATAAGCCATTTCTGCAACTTCCGGTTTGACCGGAAGTGACGACGACGCACGGAAAAATTACTTTTTATGCTTCCAGAGACATATGTAACCCAAAAACTTGTCAAGAACGGCAAAAAATGTGTTTTTCGACTACTTCCTGTTTGACCGGAAGTGACGACGCCAGACGTATTTTGACGACGCCAGTAGATTAAGCTTGTCATTTTGAACAACTTTGCTTCTTTGACGTATTACAAATTCTAAATACTTTTGGAGATATAAAGATATAAATTGTGACCCCTTATTTCGTAATATATGATTAAAATTTTATACGATGTTGTTGCAATTCGTTAAGATGAATACTTTTAATCAGTAATGTATTACAAAATATAGATCATTAAAGAATTATAGATAAAAGACTTTTGGCCCCTCTGAGTCCCTATTGTGAAGAGTCAGCCCCTTTTTCTTGATATCAAATGAAAGGGCTTTTAAATTCAAGGACTTTTTGTTCAACGCTTATTCAGAGATTTCTTTTCGTTGTGGAGATATGCTGAATGGAAATCTTTAGGGGCTACCCCTACAAGTCCTTAATGGGGTCATTTAAAAAAAAAATCACAGTATGCATATTGTTTAGAACATTATTCTGACCATCTTTTGTTCAATATTGCTAATCAAAATATTCCCCCTTTTTGAGATATAAAGCGTCAAAGATTTGACATTCTGGCCTCTTGTGACCCCTTATGACGTAACATATTATCTCAATTTTATAATATATTGTTGCAAACCCTTAAGATGAATATCTTTGCTTCAGTAATGTATAACAAAATATTGATCATTAGAGAGTTAAAGATAAAAGACTTTTGGCCCCTCTAAGCCCCTAATTTTATGGGTCAGCCCTTTTTTCTTCATATCAAATGAAAGGTCTTGTCATTTAAAAGATTTTTTGTTCAACACTTATTCAGAGATTTCTTTTCGTGGTGGAGATATGCTGAATGGAAATATTTAGGGGCCATCGCTCCAAGTCCTTAATGGGGCCTTTTTACAAAAATTCAAAGTATGCATATTGTTTAGAACATTATTCTGATCATATTTTGTTCAATATTGCTTATCAAAATATTCCCCCTTTTTGAGATATAAAGCGTCAAAGATTTGACATTCTGACCCCGTGTAACCCCTAATTACGTAACATATGATCAAAATTTTATAATATATTGTTGCAAATTGTTAAGATGAATATCTTTGCTTCTGTAATATATAACAAAATATTGATCAATAAAGAGATATAAATGAAAGAGTTTTGGCCCTTCTGAGCCCCTGATTTGAGGGGTCAGCCCCTTTTTCTTGATTTCATATGAAAGGTCCCGTAAATCTGTACAACTTTTCTTCTATATGTTATAACAAATTATGAAGAGATACGAAGATATAAAGCAAAAGATGTCAAATTTTGTGAGATGTTTCCGAGACATTTTTTGGGCTCTACCGAGCGTCGGCGCCTTTTGCGCTATAAAGATTTTGATGCCTGCTTGCAACTCAGCAAACCTTCCCTTACTTTCACTGAAAATCTTGAGTCAATATTTCAACTCGTCCCGGAGGAGTTTCCAGGACAAGCCGACCCTCTAAAAATCAGAAAATCGTCCATATCTCACGACCGGAAGTGACGTCATCGACGACTAAAATTTCCGACAAGGTTCAGATAAATATCTATTAGATCTGAAAGTTTGGTGAAAATCGGTCGAGCCATTTTCGAGAACTCGCGTGCACAAAATCGGTAAGAAAAAAAAAGAATAATAATAGGGAAAAAGAAACCGAACGAAAACAATAAGGTCTTCCGTTGGAAACGGAAGACCTTAATAATAATAATAATAGGAAACCGACGGAAAACAATAAGGTCTTCCGAAGGAAGTCGGAAGACCTTAATAAGAATAATAAGAAACAGTAGAATCACTATAAGGTCTTCCGTGAAGACGGAAGACCTTAATAAAAAGAAACAGTAGAATCACTATAAGGTCTTCCGTCTGAAACGGAAGACCTTAATAAGAAACAGTAGAATCACTAGAAGGTCTTCCGTGAGGACGGAAGACCTTAATAATAAGAAACAGTAGAATCACTAGAAGGTCTTCCGTGAGGACGGAAGACCTTAATAATAAAAACAGTGGAAAAGAAACCTAAGAAAAACAATAAGGTCTTCCGCTGAAGACGGAAGACCTTAATAAAAGTGAAAAAGAAACCGAAGAAAAACAATAAGGTCTTCCGCTGAAGACGGAAGACCTTAATAGAAGGGTCTTCCGCTGAAGACGGAAGACCCTAATTTAAGTACTATCTTTTATAGGCCTGCGCAGCTATTACCGAATATTTATAGATGAATGTTCAAGCATTGCTTAATCTTTATTTAGGTTAACAGAAAAAGGAAGAAAGTTCAAGTGGACGTCTGACATGTCTGATTGACAAAATACCTTTGATACACTTATAAAGTGTTTGACAACTGCTCCTATGCTGGCACATGCAACATTCTCATCGCCATTTATACTTGATACGGTTGCGAGTCAAGTGGGACCTCATTCTTGGCGCATTAGTGTCGCAGGATAAAGACGGCAAAGCTAGAGTTATAACATATGAAACTTTGTCCAAAAGTGTTTGATTGATTGTTTTATTTAAATACGAGTCGGCAATATCTGAGGAAAAGTTAGCTCTTGCATTTGCATGCAAACAATTCCGACATTATAGTCATACAGTCATTGCGCGCACTGATCATAGTGCCCTAAAATTGTTAATGCGTTTCAAAGATCCTCAGGGACAAGTAGCCAAATGAACCATAGTACTGTAATTATTCTACACAACGCGTTATCTGATTGGTTCTAGATTATCATGTGATCGGGCCATAAACCTTCATATTTCCCGGTCGTCGGCATGCTTTTCATCATAATTCACCTCTTCGGATACCTGGTGTATTTTCCGCAATACAGTTATCGTTGAAAGAAAACTCCCTAGAGTAGTCAACGTCTTAATAGACTGGTTTACGTCACAAAATTGCTGATTTGAAGTGTGTTAAAAGGTTTCAGGAACACTAACGTTAAAATGAAAGTGAATTTGAGAGTGCCGAATTTGAAAGTTAATTTTTTTCTCCAAAGTTTTTGCATGTTTTGTTATTATAAACAATTCATTACATGAATACTTTAATATTCAGCCAAGAAATATTATATTCCCCTCGGGCAAAGCCCTCGGGAAATATGATTTTACATATGAAACTTTGTCCAAAAGTGTTTGATTGATTGTTTTATTTAAATACGAGTCGGCAATATCTGAGGTAAAGTTAGCTCTTGCATTTGCATGCAAACAATTCCGACATTATAGTCATACAGTCATTGCGCGCACTGATCATAGTGCCCTAAAATTGTTAATGCGTTTCAAAGATCCTCAGGGACAAGTAGCCAAATGAACCATAGTACTGTAATTATTCTACACAACGCGTTATCTGATTGGTTCTAGATTATCATGTGATCGGGCCATAAACCTTCATATTTCCCGGTCGTCGGCATGCTTTTCATCATAATTCACCTCTTCGGATACCTGGTGTATTTTCCGCAATATAGTTATCGTTGAAAGAAAACTCCCTAGAGTAGTCAACGTCTTAATAGACTAGTTTACGTCACAAAATTGCTGATTTGAAGTGTGTTAAAAGGTTTCAGGAACACTAACGTTAAAATGAAAGTGAATTTGAGAGTGCCGAATTTGAAAGTTAATTTTTTTCTTCAAAGTTTTTGCATGTTTTGGTATTATAAACAATTCATTACATGAATACTTTAATATTCAGCCAAGAAATATTATATTCCCCTCGGGCAAAGCCCTCGGGAAATATGATTTTTTTTTGGCTGAATAAGTATTCATATTTCCCTCACTATCATGTAATAAATGTAAATAACCCACCTGATATAAAACAAAATTAGTGTATTAAATGTATGTCAATATATCAATTTTTTTTTGTTCCTAGATATTCCTTGCAATTACCTGACCAAATACATGTATTATTAGAACATACCCAATATGCATACCGGGTATTTAGCATTTTTCTTGTATATGCATATGTAACATTTTTGTTGTAGATGCATTTTTCAATGACAATTGATATTATGCAATGATTTCATACGTCGATATTTTACTTGAAAAAAAAACGTTTATACCGGTACTAATCTTACAACCAAGCTCTATGATAAACGATATGACTTAAACTTTTCTATCGTCAACTTCCCTTACTTGTGCAGCAATATACCTTAATCACCTGAATATGGAGTTTATATATCTCAGTTGATTATATATATATAAACATGCTCTAAGTATGAACAATTTCTTAAATGAGGTAAGTTCGTGACAATCTTGATGAAACAAGAATATTAGCAGTCTTGTTTAAAGTCATCATTTTGTATAATACGTAAACTTAAAAATTATATCGTATGCTTTATACCAAATTAAAAGCTTTCTTGCAGAAGATTTTTTCTTAATCGTTTTTTTATTTAAATTGATAAAATTTTTTGCTAAAACCTATTACATCACAGGAGAATGGAAATATATGTACCATAAGACCAGCAGTACCTAAGAGTTCGTTTATTTATCTTGGTATGAATTTTAATTTTAAAACATATTTATAAATACAATTAAATAGCAAAATTTGCGAATTTCATGAAATAAATTTAAATCGTCGTTCAATGGAAAATCACACATTTATAACACATCCTCTTGCATCAAACCACACACCCTAACACAACTTCACACACACACACACACACACACCCTCACCCTCACACACACCCTAACCCTCACACACTCTCTCAAACACACCCTTTTTTACACATACAATAAATGCATTCCGTATATATTATTTCAGTTCAATGTTTTCCAAAACTGGATTTGGTTTTCATCCTTGATTCCTCCACTAGTGTAGGCCAAGATAACCTTGACAAAGTGAAAGTGTTCATTAAGAAAATTCTTCACTCTGCAAACATAGATGGTGGGGAGGTGAGAGTTGGTTTTATGACTTACAGTACTCAAGTTACGGTAGAATTCCAGCTCAACACCTATAACACAAAGGCAGAGTTGTTTGACGCCGTTGACAAAGTTCCTTGGAGATATGGAAGTACCAACACCGCCGATGGACTGAAAACAATGCACGAAGAAATGTTCTCCGAAGCCAATGGTGACAGGCCGATTGTTCCAAACATATGCATTATCATGACTGATGGCGTATCCAATATCAATTATCAGAGGACGATTCCTGAAGCAGAAAAGGCGAGAGATAAAGGCATACATATTTATGCCATTGGTATTACACTTAGAGATTTGAAGGAATTAAACGGAATTGCTAGTCAGCCGGCCAGTGTAAATGCGTTTGCAGTTGATTCCTTTGATGAACTTGAAGGTTTAGATGAGAAAATCTTTGAATCTGTCTGTACAGGTACATTTTACATTTCACTTTAAATTTGGATTTCTTTATCTCTAGAATAATATTATGATGATATTATGATACTATGATTCAACACTTTTGTGCATTGTTTCAGAACCAACTACAGTCATGCCTACGACAACCACAAAACCTCGAGACACTGGATATGATGTCGTATTCCTGCTAGATTCGTCCGTGGATGATAGGAGAGTCTTTAACCAAATGAAGGACTTTGCTACAAATCTCGTGGGTAATCTCAGTATCGATGATGAAGAGTATCGCATTGGTCTCGTACGCTACAGCGGGGATTCAGATACATTTGCTCATTTGAAAGACCTCGATACGAAACAAGAAGTAATCGACAAAATTAAAGACATTTCATACAAACCCGGTGAAAGTAATCTACAAGACGCTCTAGACATTGTGAACTTCGAGAACTTCCGAGAGGACAATGGAGACAGGGACTTTGCACGAAACTTAATTGTTTTACTGACTGGAGTAGATCGGAGCACGGATCCCTATGAGGCGTTCCGGGCAGCAGAACGTGCTGAAGATGAGGGCATAAACATTTATACCGTAGGATTTTACATTAATGACACATTTGAGGTCGATGAGGTTCCAACACATCCCCTTAGTACATATAGATATTTGATTACAAGAAAACAGGATGCCAAAGATGTTCCAGTAATGCTTGCCAATTCAGGTATGCAAACATTAAAAAAATTAACTTGTGGACTTTTAAACCAAAACTAATGGTTCCTGTTTTTATCCACCTAATTGCATAGTTCTTTATAAGATTTGCTTTGATGGATAAATCTTTACATTCTATACATTTATCATTGTCAGTAAAATATTATTTATATTCTCTAAAACTCATTAAATTATTTTTGGAATTATACTTCCAGTTGATAATATCCTACGCCCGAGAAGAGACAGACCATTACCTACAACTACAACTATGAGTAGGAATGAGTAACAAATTTCTCTTTTCTTTATATAGAAAATTATAACCCCATGTTTAAGACATTTGAAATTATTCTATAGTTAAAAATGAACGAAATAAATCACTCTTCAGGAAGGTAAAGCTGAAGGTGAAAGTTATTCATATCTGTAAATAAAAGGCAGGTTAAATATCCGTATAATTTTTTCCTCCTTCCTATTAAAGATAGATTATTTCACCATTACAGCAACCACAACAACCACTACGACCCCACCACGTGATTCCGGATATGATGTTGTCATCATGATTGATTCCTCAGTTCCACAGAAAACGTTTGACGCCATGAAAAAATATGCCAAATCTTTGGTCAATCGATTCGACATCGACAACAAAGAATACACTGTGGGCCTTATGAGATATGGAGAATGCAACGACATACAATGGAATTTAAATAACTTCACATCAAAAAAGGATATTGTTAATGCTATTGATAGAGTAGGCCATAAAGCAGGAACGGCATCTGATGCAGCAGGTGCCATCCGTAAGGTACGTCGTCGAATGTTCAACGAAAGAAATGGCGATCGAGACTTTGCTCGAAATCTCATTTTCTTAATGACGGCAAATGAGAAGAGTGATGATTTATATGCCACATGGAATGAAGCAGAAGAGACAGAGAAAGAAAAGATTAATCTGTATACTGTTGGTTTTTATTTGAATGGTACAACAGAAATTGACGAGACTTCAACCCATCCTCTCTATATTTATCGTCATCTCATTAATATAGAGGAGGGTGATGATGCTATTAACAAATCCATATCAGAAATCGTCGGTTTAAGTGAGTTTTTGTGACTTACAATTTTTAACTTGTAACTTTAATCAAAAAGATTTACTTTTAGATATACTTGGGGAAATATATATTCTTTTATATCCGAAATATTTCTTAATATATATATAAAGAAAGTTATCTTTTGACATAACATTTTGTTTTGTAACAAGCTTTGTTACAGGATTAAATTTTTGAACTTTTCTCATGTTAATTTTATATTCTGATGAAATGTAGAACTCCAAATCTTATCCATTTCTCTCTTACAAAGTTGATGAAGATGTATTATCAAGACCGAGACCAAAACCTACAACCATCACTAACACAATGATGTCACTTTCAACGAAACGTAAGCTTAATGAACTATATATATATATATATATATATATATATATATATATATATATATATATATATATATATATATATATATATATATATATATATATATATATATATATATAAAATGAAAAATGCTTAGATAATAAATATATACATGTAGGATAAATTCACACATATGATTTTAAAACCGCTTTGATATAAAATAGTTTTCTTTTCTTTCTAATAATATCTAATAATATTTCTAATAATATCTTATACCTTATATCCAAAATTACCGTTAGAACTTGTGCTCCAAATAAACGACTTTAAAGTATATATCTCCTCATATAATTATATTCCTTGTAATATAAATTCTCATTTTCACATTTCACAACATTTCACAACGTTCCATCAATTTTGAGAAAGTAGTTTGTCGTGCTTAAATGTAAACATCTTTATCGTGGCAAATCTCTGATTTGACAGAAGCTATTCATCTCAAAACTCTTTGAATTCCGAAATTAAAATTGTTGTTACCTGCTGTACTAATCAATTTTGGACAACTATTCGAAATTGTATAAATTTAACCTACCTACAAACTACCTAGTCCTTGTTGCATTCAGAGGCACACTGGACCAGGCCAAAGGAATTTTCATTCTTCTCTATTTTCTTGATTATCTTTTCAACCTCTCTTTAGGTAGGTTTCATGTTTTGAGCCCTTGAGTTCAGTTCTTTTCAACAGTATTCCTCCATTTGTGTTTTGTCGGCCTCTCCTCCCTTTCTCTTCTAGAGTCTATCTGAGTGCAACTCTTGTAATATCATTGCTCTCTTAGGACATGGTCAGTTCATTGTTATCTGTTTTTCCTTAGTAGTGTCCTTACATCTGTTTTGTTTTTGTTATTTCATAAACATTTTTGTTGGTAACTTTTGTAGACCAGACAAAATATCCTTGAGATTTTTTCTGTGACACGCATAAAGAAATATTTTCTTGTTTGTTATGATCACTTTACGTCTGTTTCAAACACTCAGCACCATACATTAATACAAATAATACACAGCAATAATGCAACTTGATCGTGTGTCTACTGATACTGTTCGATTTCCTAATATTTTACAGCTTGATGAAATATTCTCTTCGTTTTTCTAATCATCGGATAGCACCGTCCTTTTCAGACATGTAAGCATAGTGTGTTTAATATCTTTATTTAATTGTATTTGGAGAGAGAAAAAATTGAATTCGGAGATAAACATTTTTTTGTTAATGTTCAAACTAACTTTGATGAGACTTATTTGTAAACTGGATGTTTATAAGTTTGCATTTGTGTCTCCAGATAGTCTTATCTATTACTGAAATGAGTCCACAGGATGCCTGCGTTGTCTTTACTGAGGGTTGTTCTCGATATAAAAATGTAACTCCTTGCCAGGCACTAAAGATTTTACAATCAAGGTTGTGTTTAACTTGAAGAATAACCTACAGAACATTTTAAAACTTATGATGTTTTTATTAGGACGACTAGATAAGATGGATTGCCAAGTTTCTTAGGATCTTTCACAAACTTTCTCTGGGAATGCTGTCACACCTTTCTTCAAAATCAATTATGATGAGTTGTCTTTTCCATTGCTTGCATTACTCTAGCTATTATCTTTTTTGGTGTATGTATCTGGTTTGGGCAGCCCTTTACTTTCTAAAGCCATTCTATTCTTACCACAAACATGTTGTCGGCTGCCGTTTGAATTATAATTGCAAACTGGGTACTTATGTTTAGTCCACAAACAATCCGCTGTTGTAGCGCGTCTGGTCGAGAGTTCAAATCCACCTGTGGGACATGGAGACCGTTCCTTCGGATGAGACCATACAAATCGAGGTCCAGTGTAGCGGTTGATGCTGGAATAAAAAATGATCTGAGATTCATTGCTCAGTGGCCCTGAGTGCCGAATATAGATTAAAATTTGCAGCTTTCCACTACCAAGTGATAGCGTCTCGATAAAAGTGCACGTGAAAAATATATCTTGTAGACTTTAACAACAAACAAAGAAACAAACAGAAAGCACACACAACCAAGGAATCTATGATATACTTAGTATTCTTATTTCCCAATTCCTGTCTTAGCCTTTTCAAAAAAGTCATTATGAATAAAATATTGATGAACAACGGAAAGAAGATATACTATGAAAAATATTCAAAGATACAATAAATATTAATCCATATAATAGAATTTACCAAATTTATTTCAATGAATACAATGCATGACGAAATTTCATCTATATTTGCTCTTTAAATTTTAGAATAGCTATTGAATAAAAGTAAGTAAATGTATACACTGAGGTTAATGCAGATAAACTCCCCCTGAATTCGATTAGATGATATTCTTTAAAGAAATGTTGAAACGTAACTATTTTGCCTCCAAAATCAGTTTCATCTGCTCTTCAATTGTTTCCTTTAGTGTGAAGTATTTTAAAGAGTCTTTTATTTTCACCCATCAGCTTGTGGTTTTGAAAAGATTGATTTAGTCATAACCCTTGACTCTTCGACGAGTGTTGGCCAAAACAACTTTCAGAAAATTCTCCATTTTTGTAAAAACTTCTTGAACAAATTGGACATCGATTCTGGGAGTGTTCGAGTAGGAATTCTAAGCTACAGCACAAACGTACATGATCACTTCTTTTTAAATGCGTACAGCACATCTACAGACATTTTTAATGCTATAGACAAAATTCCTTGGATTTTTGGAAGTACTAATACAGCTGACGCAATAAGAGACATGAGGCAGAGGTATTTCTCATTCGCAAATGGCGATAGATGGGACGCACGAAACATTGCCTTAATTTTTACTGATGGTGTCTCTAATATGAATGCAAATAGATTGCAAGATGAAGCATCTCATGCCAAGGCCAATGGAATAACCATGTATGCAATAGGCATTGGATTAAGTGATGTTTCTGAATTAAACCTAATTGCGTCTTTTCCTGCCTCAAACTACACCTTTAATGTAGAAAACTTTGATAAACTGAACGATTTGAATGATCGGATCTTACCCTCTTTATGTGCTGGTAAGTACTTCAAGTTACAATCATTTATATTACATCGAAGTATAGAAAAATTAATCGTTTAAATTCCAATCGAATGAAATATATGAAGATAACGAACAGTATTGTCAATGAGCTCAAAGTCTATTAAACAATGCAAAATGGGAGAAGAGCAAACACGAACCTCCAACACATCAGAGGTGGGATCAGGTGCCATGGAGGAGTAAGTTCCCCTGCCAACCGGTCCTATTCGCCGTGTGCTCCTCGTCATGATTGGGTGGTAACGGAAAAATCCTTTGACAATTCAGTATGTATATAATGATGTGACAAATAGTATGAAAAATATCAGCCAGCATTTAAAATGATAAATTGTTATTGCTATCAAGGTCTTTGAAGCACAAACTGTCCTGGAGACAATAAATTGATTCAAGACTGGTTTTCTTAATTTTTTTTATTGAAAGAAGGATATGGAGATAACTAACAGTATTAAATGTAATGACAGATAAATTTTTTTTTCATCTTGTTTATCTATAAATTATGCCCCAAAACTCCTAATTTGACCAAGCTGAAGTTATAAAGCATCATAAAAGGAATTTTTTTTAAATCAGTAGAATAAATCTGTAGAAGGGTATGGAGATAACGAACAGTATTCAAGATCAAAAGTCAATAAAACAATTCAAAGTAATAGCAGAGCAAACACGGACCTCCAAAACACCAGAGGTGGGATCAGGTGCCATGGAGGAGTGAGCATCCCCTGCTGACAGGTGCTCTTTGTTCATGATCGGGAAATAACGGAAAAATCCGTCGTCAATTCAGTGTATAAATCATGGACTAACAATTAGTATGAAAAAGTATGCAGTAAGAAAAACGTCAGTCAGTATTTGACTCAATGATAAATGTTATTTGCTGAATAAGTCATTGTATCGATCATAGAACTTACGAAATGATGACAGCTGATTTTCTTGTTTCCTCAACTTGCATGTCAATAATTTACTTCGTTTTAGAAATTTTTCATATGTAGAGCACTCTCTTGCGTATTGAATCAACTGAGATATATATGCTCCGTATGCAGGTGATGAAGGAAGTAAGGGAAGTTGACAATATAAAAGTTAAAGCCATCACGTTTATCATATAGCTTAGTTGTTAGATTACCATTAACGTCTTTTTCAAGTATAATATCCAGTATGAAACAGATGTGTCAGACTCTGTGGTATCTTTTATCCCAAGCTCACCGTGATATTTCGTATCAACGTAGGGATGGAAATTACCATTGTTAATTGACAATACATCGTTTATATATCTAAATATCGAGTTGAAGGCCACAGAAAGTGTTTCCTTCTTTTCAGGCATAAGATTTTGCACAAATTCTGCTTCATATGAATATAAAAAGGCACCTTTCATTTACTATATCTTTACCTGAAATAAAAGTTTTTGATTTAAAATGATTACGTGTTATTAACAATATAAATATTGTCAAACATTAACATGTTTGTATACTATTCCAATTAAAGTATATTGAACAATATTTGTTTTGTTTTGAAAATAATTTCAAAAGATATACATGTATTACTTTGAAATTTTGACGCAAGTCTGTTCTGAGTTTATGGTCTTGGAGCCTGGTAAACATTACAATGACATCAAATTTAATAATTATCTTTTCATTTCTAAGCTTTTAACAGGGGGCTCGGAAGGGAAATTAATTTTTTACTGCTATCTTTGATCTTTGATATGCTCCCAAATGTCATTCAACTAGACATTTAATGTCAAATCCATATATTTTTGTACATCGATATACAAGAAACTAGGATATTCCTCATTAAATCAAATTATGTTCACGGCAGCACACTTGAATATGGATTTTATTATAAACAAGTCAACAAAATATATACGTAGAATATGCACCTATATGTATATGTGCAAATTAAATGCAAATCCATTTGTACATGTATGATCTTTTGACCTTTTTTTCATAATTGAAAATATGCTCAGATAGAAAATGGATCACAAGAACACGCATACTAAAACAAATTATTTGTGTTTAATTTTTGAAGCCAACGAAGATCTGGAACCAACTAGGTTAAGACCACAGACGAAAATGACTATCAAACCGGACAGTGCCATTATGCCTGCTACAACTTCCAACAACCTGACCACAACACACTCAACTTCAACGACAATGGGTATGTTTTGCCCTCTTTGTAATGAAAAAAAATTAATTTCTCTGAAAAATCCCCTTTTCTCATTCATTAATAACTTCATGTCATTGAATATATTTACAGCAGTACAATTTCGTAAACGTAGGTTTTTAACAAAAAAGAAGGCATGTTTTAGCTTTATTGTGCCCTGATTATATAACGTTTTCAAAACGTTTTGAATCTGATTTAAATATTAAACAGGTATTTGATTGTAAAAAATCAGAAAAGCATATACCATGAAGAAGTACCATTCGAAAAAGTCTCAAAATGATCCATCTCAAGGATTAATGAAAATAAAATAGTGTCCACAGCCGTCGCCCCCTTGAATTTTTGGATATGTTTGTAAAATTCCTTTTGCAAAATCCCATTTTTAGCCGGGCTTATTGCTCAAAGAGCAATTGCCGGCTTATGTGATCCTGTTCAAGGCAGGATGTTGACCCCATAGTCGCCATTTTAAAGTTACGTGCAAAAATATAGTTCTTTACTCTCAACCGCTTTTGAGATAATACAAACGCTAAATAAAGCAACAAAAATAAAACGAAGTTTTATATATATAAATAAACATTAGTAGTAATGACTTTGAAAAAAACCTCAGTCCGAAGTCAAAGATCATAATTCATTATAATTAGCGTAAGGATTTTTGATAATCAGTGTTATCGTAGTTCTCTACAAACACGAGGTAAAGCAGGAGAGGGAACCAGACTGGCCTGTTTGTTTACATTCAGCTGCGGTACCAGATTAATTCTGATTCTGACAAAATCGGACCGCGGTATTAGGATTAAAAAACTCACTGTCAGTGTCCTTTCATTTATATTGATAGTTTTAAAATAATTTTTTTCATCAGAATATAAACGTGATTCGTGTAAGAAATTCATTCTACTCTGTAAATGAGCCCGGCTCTCTGTACTTCTGAGTACTTTGATTCAAAACATTGATGGGTGATGCGTGTGGATAATTGAAACTGAAAGAAAATTACATAGAAAATTGGTGTCTTCTGCAACTTTTAAAGAAAATACGGGAAATGCACAAGTTGATAGCATCATAATTAGCACTGAGATAGTCATGGGAAAATGATTTGTTGATCTTTAAGCATGGGATTACATAGATTCAAAAAGTATGTGTTTTATTCCTGATCACGTTCATTTTCTTGAAAAACACAGAGCAAGATCTGTATTGAAACCGTACCATGTTCTTGGGTACTCGCAGAGGGTTATGTACCACAGATCTATTACCAGATATATTAATTGCTAGTATGATTTGTTTTCTGCATAAACAGGTTCACTTTGATATAAATAGAGGTCCGACCTATATTGTCGGGATTGAGTTTGTGTATACCAAACGGTTGTCGATTACATTTCCCAGTAATGACTTAAAGCTTAATGCATTTAGTAAAGATTTCAGTTAGAAGAGGTAGTAGGAACCATCCCATAGACATTGACTATGTATCATAATATTGTCAACGCATTCTGAATAAGTTAAAATGTGATAATTGATAATTTAACTTCTCATTGTACATGTACATCAGTAATGGTAAAGTCTACAGTGAAATATATTGAGATAACGAACAGCATTCGAGCTCAAAAGTCCATTGTGGCAAGGCACTTTGAAAAAATTACGCACTGAAATTTTTTTGAAAAAATAGGTACAGTAAAACATTTATGAGAGAGAAAATTTTCAAAGGATGGAAAAATAAAAATTGCTCACTTTCACGTCAAGATTTGATGTAATCGCCGTAAAGTTATCCAAAAGGTTCAATTATTTATCATACCTAAGATTTTCAAAAATATTGACCAAGCCATACACATTTTTTCAAAGTGCGTTAATATGGTCGATATCGACGAACTTTGAAAAGAAATTTCAAACTGCGTTGATATGGTCCCCAATTTAACGCACTTTAAAAAGTCTTTTCAAAGTGCGTAATTTTTCAAAGTGCGTCGTAACAGTCCATTAAACAATATAAAATAGGATCAGAGCAAACACTACCTCCAAACATCAACATGAAGGAGTGAGCATCCTCTACCAACCGGTCACATTCGCCGTGTTTCATTTTTTTATGTTTATTTATGAAGGATATGGAGATTCAATATCAAAGTCCATAAAACAATACAAAATAGAAGCAGAGGAAACACGGATCTCCAAAACATCAGCGGTGGGATCAGGTGCCATGGAGGAGTGAGCATCCTCTGCCGACCGGTCACACCCGCCGTGCGCTCCTTGTCATGATCGGAAAATAACGGGAGAATCTAATTGCTTTTCTTTTATTTAACAACACATTTCCGTGGTTAAAAACATGCCCTTAATGTCTGCAAATACATAAATGAAATCCAAGGAAGCACAGTTATTGATATTTAGCACTACCATTTCTTAGTGCACAACAAGTTTCTGAGTAAGAACATTGACACAGTACAAAAGTACAGAGATGCTAAAGGTAGATAATATACAATTATTGCTGTTTTTTTTTAGGTCAATACGATAATTTAGACACCTGAGGAGTACAATATTCACTGAGCCCGAAGGGCGAAGTGAATATTGTACTTCGAAGGTGTTTAAATCATCGTATTGACCTAAAAAATAGCAATAACTGTTTTATTATATGATTAAATGATTTTATTATATGATTAAATGATTTTATTATATGATTAAATGATAGCAAACTCCTACAAGACTGTTTCTTTGCTTTAATTAATTGAAAGTTTAAACAAGAAATTTCAACAAGAACACAGAAAAAAATGAACAGGTTTATAATTCCTTGTATTGACCTGCAATAATTCCTTGTATTGACCTGGAACGTCACGTGCAGGTCAATACAACGTAGTATTTTTCTAACATAGTTGGATCTCAGCCAATCAGAGAGAAGGAAATTATTCAATCATATAATAAAATATATAATTAGGGGGAAGGAGGGTGGGTTTAATTTTTTTTTCTGCGTCTGATTCATTCAAATTACAGAATAAAAAAGAATATTCTAGAATACATGCTCATACAACAAATATCAAGAATTTTTGAGCACCGAGCCCAATGTATTATGAACGCAAGAGACAAAGAGTTATCGATCTTTGTATGTGAAAATGAAATGATCAGGTTTATCCATGTAAGAATATATCACAGATTCTGACGCATCTGTTTCATATTTGGATATTTTACTTGAAAAAAAAAATTAATGATGATCTAGCAACCAAGCTTTTTGATTAAAGATGATTACCATAACTTTTCAATCGTCAACTTCCCTTCCCTTCAGCAATATACCTTCTTTACCAACATATGGTGTTTATAGCTCTCATGGTATGTTCCATGAATACTAGTACATGTTCAATCTATAAAAACGGGGTAAATTATTGACAAAGACTTTAATGAAAAAAGGAATAGCAGTTCTGTTTAAAGTTATAATTAATTCTATGGTTGATACAGTGACTTGTCATAAAAAACTTTGTATCCTTGAGTTCAATGCTGACTGACCTTTCCATTCCAGTTGTAAGGCTATTATTTACACACTGAGTTGTCGACGGATTTTACCGTTTTTTACCGATCAATACAAGATCGGCATCGGATCTTCACTACTCTGCAGCTCCTGTCCTCACATGTACCTCTCATGTTCTGGGTGTCCGTATTTGTTCTGCTCTAGTTTTGTACTGTTAAATGGACTTTTGAGATTAAATGCTGTTTGTTTATCTTCATATACACATGTATTTCATTTATGAAAAAATATTTGATAATAAATGAATTTATAGAATACTGTTTTTCAAATAAGATGCTTAAAAATAATTCTATTGAAAAAGAACAGAAATATCATTTTCAATTGATTGAATGGAAATGAACTTGGCCATAGTATATAACAATGACGCGCTTTTGTTTGAATTTTACAACTTACGAATAATAAAATTTATTTTTGTCAATTTTTTTGAAGTACAAGAGAAGCTTCCAAGGAATACAGGGACCGCACTGATGGCCGTTGTGTCTACCTTTCTCGTGCTTAGTGTCCTAGTTTTTGGTGTCGCCGTGTTTTTGTTCCACAGGACCCTAAAACAACGTATGTCGTCATGAGAGCTACATGAGAATTGACAATTGATTCCCTTGCTTCCTTATTCATGATTTTTAAGTATAGGAGTACAGGGAGTAATATGCGTTAAAACAATTCTTATATTTTATATATTTACAGAGGGTGTTGTAAGGAACCAAATTCTCGAGAAACATGCATTGTAAGTTTAAATCTGTAAAATTCGGCGTCCTTTTCTGATTGATATGACTGAGTATTAATATTGAGACCACATTTTACAAATATTCTCTAAGTAAAAAGCTACTTATTTATCAATCTTTTGATAATCTTTGTCTAATTGATAAAGGAATGAATTGGGAGAGACTACCCACACTCCAGACCTGCGTGTTGAAGTGCCTTCAGAAAATGATAAGGATAGTCTTCATTCTAATAATAAATGAAAGGAAAGTGTAAGTAGTTTAACAAATCAACTCCTATTACATAAGAAACACATGTACTCTTTGTAAAGAATTATTGTTATATTGAATAGGCCTAATTAATGGATTAATTATATGTTGTTTTCGAGAATTTTTCATTCATGTAGACATCACTATACGCCAAAGTAAGACATTTTTGAAAAAAAAAAATTCATGTATTAATAGAGTTACTTAATATTTAACTCTACAGAAATGAAGGATATTAAGAACTGTGAACAGTCTAAACAGTTTTGGAAACAGGTCGTTGCGTTACCTAACGTTAAGCGATTTCTCCGTAAATCATATTATCTCAAAGTAAAAATCATAGAAAATCTAAAACAATTAAGGAAATGGATCTAATTGTTTACATACTAATAAACAAAAGATAAGAATTTAATTAGACATGTCATTCTTCCAATACACGTTACATTTTCCGTAAACCAACGTGCCTGTGAACTGTATTAACAAACACTGTTCATTAATACGAGGGGTGATCAAACAGTTTGCGAACTAATTGAATATCTTCCATAAAAGAAACAATATTTGGTTTCAGTATTGATCATATTTTAAATTAATCCTCACCGATTTTAATGCACATCTGGACTGGAGGCAAAAAATCTTAGACGAGCTCAGTTTTGATCTCAGTATCACTTTTATCAGGAATATATTGTGGAAAAGTGAGACTGAGATCAAAAGTTAATTCTAATAACATGAACAGTTAATTTGTTTGAAATGCCCAACAAGGCTTGCCACCTTTCAAAAATGCATGGCCACCATGCACAAATCACGTCAGGAGAGATATAGGTGGTCAGAGAATGACCCCTTCTTTTTATCATATCTAATATGTTTAAAATCTAAAGCAAAAGTTGTTTTAAGATTTTTCTATATTATTTTATATTTCTTTCAATTTAAATTAATTCTTTGATATAACATAAAAAATCTCTTTTCAAAACAGTTAATTTGTTTGAAATGGCTTCATTCACTAAAACGATCAATCCAATCATTGATTAAAGAAGGAGTTGCAGAAACTCGCGATTATTCCCTATATATCGAGAAGGACATTTAAATACTCTCGTTATGTCTAAATATAGATACAGCTACGTAGAAGAAAAATACAGCAAAACACTTTCCTCGTTTTGCATGGCCAAAAACACAATGGCTAAAGCAGCATTTTGAAAGATATACTGTACCCATATATCTGAAATAAAACTGTCCATAATCACACTGTTGGTGAGAGACATTTTATTTGTTTCATATCAAAGGTGAATAGAAAATTGCCATAACTTCAGTATTTAAATAAATATATTATTTAAACATATCTAATATGACAAATTATAAAATCTAAAGCATTTAACGCATTTCCGTTTTAGGTACCTCCCCCACCTCTCTTTCAAAAAATATATAATTTCATTATATTATTGTTGCAAAAAAATATTCACCCATTCTCTGGTAAAAATTTTTCAAGCATATCCACTAAATTACAGGTCTTTGATAGTGAATTGCTTAATTAAAAAAATCTCTTTTCAAACTTGATTTCACTGGGCAACATAACAAGTTTCATTTTTAACCATCTGGCTTCCTTCACTTAAACGATCAATCCAATCATTGATTAAATTTATAGAAAGTCATTTGTCTTAATTAACTGTATACAAATTATTATACGTTTCTGCAAAGGGATTTCTAAGATATACTATAAATTGTATAGTTGTGTCAAATGTGATCGACTGAGACAATCATTATTCCTCGTCACAAGTAGCCTACATAGTGACGTCATTTTACATTGTGACGTCACAAACAAGGAGCAAAACTTAATTCAGCATATGCTATTTATAGAACTTTTGTATGGCTATGTGTGTACCAATTTTTTTTTCTTATCTGAATTGTGGTTTTGGAGATATAATATAGAGATAGTTCGCGATCTTTTTGATCACTCCTCGTATAGCATAATGACTGAAGATAAAGTGTTAGTAAATATGCTTTCCTTGTCGATGAACATATTTCTAGGAATTGTACAAAATCGAAGAAATATATTTATGATTTTTTTTTTAAATTTTAGATAATTATTTTTTTTAGAATAAACTATCAGCTATTTTTTCAATCTTCCACTTTTTACTAGAAAATTAAAATCGAATATTTTCTTTCTATTCATCTACATGTAGCCTCTAAAAAAATGATTATAACATACATGTCATTCTCATTTATTCCTAAAGAAGATTGCGAGATAAAATGTTTGATGTGACTTTTACGCAACAGCATTTATTTCCTTAAATTCTTTACATCCCCCCCAAAAAAATATAATATGAGTTTCTCTCTTTTTAGGTAGACATAGAAAACCAACAACGTTAACAACCAGGAATCTCCTCCAAAGTCTAAATAAAGTACATGTATTTGACTTAAATCCATACTATTCATTCCAACATTTTGTTATTCATTCTTCAGTTCCCTGTTATGAAATAAAGGTTCTTATTTATTATTTTTAAATGTACTGTTTCGATGATTTAATACTGGTGGAATTGAGAGGTGTTTAAAATGTATAGACATGTAAATGTTAAATTATTGTTGAATCAGATGCGCATTAAAAATAGTCCAATTTGTGATGAAAGGAGTAACAGCAACACATTCCAAATATATGCACAACGAGTGAAACCTGTTAATTAAAACACCAAACAAAACTCTTTATCTGGAAAGGTTGTGTTTATAACTGAAATCTAATTTCTTTTTAAACTTTCCAATTTTGATTTGTAGCAGGACAAAACCAGCAAAAAAGATAAGTAGAAAATTGTATGTTTTGTTTGAAAATTACTATCTAGCGAGACATTGCAGACAATGTGGTCTTTTGTAACTCATTGTCGATATGACAGTGTAAAACAGAAGTACACATTTCTATATAAGACTGAGTTGTTCAAAACAATGCTTTCTTAACAGAACCCTTTCTTTAGGAACTAAAAAGCATTTGCTGTTTTTTTTTTTTTTTAAGTTTTTTGAAAAAATGTCAATATGAATTATCAGAAATGGGGAGTAAAACAAATGACCATCAATGAAAAATGATAAATATTGTTTTTAATTATCTATAAATCATTTTGAAGTATAATCCTCCATGATGTTCATGTTCTCTATATCTAAATTCCTGCTGGACACGTTATTACTGTCGATATTAATGTAGTAAATAATTAGGACCTTAGTTTACTAAATTTAGAAGATCCTAATAAAGGAAACCCCCATCCTTGAATTTGCTTTGTAAATTTCATAAAAAACAATGGATTCTGTAGAAGATTAAACCAGGCGATGGACCAGAAATGATAAAAAACCATAACACTTTTTCAGAATGGATTAAATGTATCAGACCGCACATAAGTATCTGTAGTGTCCATCTTGTTCGCAATATTTTGGGTTTATTTAACGTGTGATAACAATAACTATCTATTAGGTCATAAGAGAAAGTCAAAAACACCCAAGAAGTAAGTCAGTGTCCCTCCAGGTCTTCGATACAATACATTTTACCACTACTACCACTTTGATGTTTTTGATCTTATAAATCTTTTAAATTTATGTTTGTTTCTGTACAATACAGATTATACAACGATGTTTTTGATGATAAATTAAATTTTATGTTGCTATACACAATATATACATAAGATTTAATAATTCAATAATTTTAGCGTGGTTGTGGGATCCTTAACTCCGACAAACAACCGCTCCACCCCTCCCTGTCGCTGTTGGTACTGGCACGAGAAAGGCCCCTCACTGCTTAATGACCCAGGGTGTCGAGCACCTTTCCAACGGCAATTGTTCGTGTTCCCATGAGTGAAAAATTAAGGTAGCATCTAAACACGTTTTATTTTTGTTTCTTACATGACCACATTTAACGATAGATGCCTGTTTCCACTAAGTAATACCTCCACCCCCACCCCCCGTGCATCCTCCATTCGCAATACACATAACAACCAAACTGCATTAACCGAAATACAAATAAATATATAGAAAGAAAATATATCAAGTACTATACCTCAACTCCTTTTATTTTTCACTAAAATCAATCCACGATTGTCTATAATTTATTTATGTTTGATGATTAATTTAAATTGATAAATTGTTTATATATACTGACATTTCCACTTTTCGGCATACGGATTGATATAGAATAACCCAATAGTAAATTACATATGAAATAAATGTAAATTACCGATCGAATAAATATTATTAATGAATTTTTATTTTATTTCTGTATATTTTAACACATGTGGAATATTCCATGTACGAGTGAATAGGTCTATAGTGATGAGGTATTACACATATTATGAACGATAACTCGTTATATGAACGATAACTCATGTTCGACTCCTTTTACGCCATACCATCTAGTGATATCCTTAAACAATACAAAATAAAAGCAGAGGAAACACGGACCTCCAAAACACCAGAAGTGGGATTTGGTGCCATGGAGGAGTGAGTATCCCCTGCCGACCTGTCACCCACACTGTGTGCTCCTTAGCATGACTTCAAATACCACTATGATTTAAGCGGACTTGTATTTAGAAAGCAAATGCTAAAAATTGACTATTCCCTAGATGACATTTTAATATATTTAGTATAAATCATTAGAGTATGTAATGTATTTATCGGTTGCTGATTAATAAATACAGAGGGGTCATGGGTGTGTGTGAACGATCAACAGGTAATTCGATAGCTTGCTCCCCCTAGGCACCCATCTCACCTCTGTTATCTCCTGTATCTGTATTTGATACCCTTTTTACATGTTTGTATCGTTTATAGATTGTTTGAAAATCGATCACTGTTAGTTATCTTCAATTTTTATATTTCTAAAATAATAAAACTATGCCTTTCTTCTGTTTCCTTTTAAAGACCCTCAAATATGTTCTTGAGTTTATGAAAGCTCTTATCCGAATTTCTCTGCTCTTCAAAGTTAAATCCTGATTATGACCTGTTAAGTCGAACGCTCTCAACTAGGCATCATTAAAGAGATGAATAAGCCCTATTTGTATATTGTATCATAATTAATGTTTCCTTTTCCCTTTTCTTCATGCAAATTTTAAGCAGACAGAAATGTTCATAATTTTGAAAGCATGATTGTGACATTAACATGTTATTTGTGTTGTCCATTCTATGACTTAATATTGAGCTAACTCCCCAAACAATCCATTTAGTAGCCTGCACGCATTAATTTTGGAAAATTGTCCATTCTTTAGAAAAATGAATGGACAGTTTAACTAACAGAATGGATAGATCAAGAAAACATTGATATGTGCACAAGAGGGAAGCAAAAACAAAGACATTACATACTATTTAATTTAGTAGAATATCATGTAAATAACAAAGAGAATGCAGAGCTCTAATTTAATCTAGAAAACAATGCCTACGCAGTATCTGCTCGATCTCAACGAACAATGTACATTATATCAATGTTTAAAACTTAATTTTCATAAAGGTGGTTAAATGACACAATTTAACATCTGATCTGAGATCTAATATTAATTCATCCACTCAGAAAACAGTTAACGCTATGAACATTACATGTACTAATGTAAATATTTTCTTAAAATTGAAACATTTTCAGATTTGTTTTGAAAAATATATTATCAAATTGAAGTTTGGCTCATGTCTGATCCAACACTCTGAACACAATTTGCATCTTACTTTTACACTATCCCGTCAATATCATCTTCAACTGAATTAAAAAAATAAATTCCATATTTAATTCTAATTTGATTATCTGTCTACGTATTTCGTAGGAGAAGTTTATTTCTGGATCAAAGTTTGGCTTATATTTTCTTCCTTGTTTCCAGATCCAAATATCACTTGTTTGTGCCCCTTTTGGTTCAATAGATCTCAATTCTGCCATATTTAATGCTCTCGATCAGAGGCATACATATACACACATTTTAATTTTTTTTCTCTACCTTACTCCCCCTCAAAGAAAAGTTCTTCAAAATCTAAGACCGTTTAGGAAGAATATCAGCATTGCAGTAAATTTTTAGATTATTTAAAAGTTTATTTAATAGCAATCATTCAGAGTTATTCAACAGGAAATTCAATTTAAACGCGGAACAAATGGCATGCCCGTCCAATGGTCTTCCCATTGAACCTGCTTTAACCCACTTATTCAAGCTAATATGATGCAATGTTGTCTCTCTCTAGAGAAAGATATATTCTCATTTCTTTTGGAGTGAATTTTGTTTAAAGTTCTAAGAGCAAGCATTTTCATTTCCCAGATTGTACCCATGACCTACTGTGGGCGTCAAATATAACAGAGCAGGCGCGGATCCAGAATTTTTTCAAGATTGGGGTGGGGGTGGGTGGGGGTTCAACCCCAGTCCAAATGGAATTTTCAACGCAGAAATTTCTTGACAAGCCAAAAAAAAAAAATAACAAGCAACCTTTTCCCCAGAAGAAAAACACTCGCTGTGTCCTTCAACTCGACATTGAGATATATCGATGACATAGTGTCAATCATTAACGGTAATTTTCATGCCTATTTCGATACGATATATACTATGGAGCTTGAGATAAAAGATACCACTAAGTCTGACACATCTGTTTCATACTTGGATATTTTACTTGACAAAGACGTTAATGGTAAACTAACAGCCAATCTCTATGATGAACTTTTTCATCGTCAACTTCCTTTACTTATGCAGCAATATACCTTCATCATCTGCATACGGAGTTTATATCTCATTTGATACAGCAAAATAATTTCGTCATTTTGCACGAAAAATGTTTGGACCACAAAAAGTATGATGGCTAAAGCAGCAATTTGAAAGATTATACTGTAGGCATCGTGCAAAAATATTTTTCATGAAAGAAAACTACGTCCAATAATCGCACTGTTGGTGCTACATCGAAGACATTTCATTTGTTTCAAATCAAATCTTGGCTACTAACTTAGAGACCAGAATTATTCAAAATTGCAATAACTACAGTATTTAAAAGATTAATTATTTAAACAATACAGTTACTTTATTTTCAAAGACAAAACTAAATAAAGCATTAGTTTTAAGTCACAGCATATCAAGGAAAACAATTTAATCCTGCATTTCTAATATATAGTTAATACTCAATTAACTTCTTGACATTCTCTCCCCCACCCCCCGCTCTCTCTCTTTCAATTTTTTTTTTATAATTTCATTGCACAACCATTACATTTGAAAAAAAAATAAGTATTTTTTTTTAGTGCAAAAATGATCCATTCCAATATTTGAACCAATTCTCTGGTAAAAGTACTGAGCTGGAAGCCCGCAGCATTTTTTTCTCTTTTATTGGTGAACATCAAAATTAATAATCTTACAAACATCTCTTACAATTCTATAAAATCATGATAAAAAAATAAATAATAAAACATCATCAGTCAGTTTAACTAAAGGATTTCGGTGCAACAATTTCTTTGAAAACACTTTCTTTTTCTTTTCAACAATACATAATTGATAATGTTGATATGAGACATAATGTTTTA